AGTTTGTCCTTTCTCTTTCCATTGCCCTCTCTTTCTTCCTTATCACAGCACTTACCACACTATTGACCTCTCCTACCTGCCTGCTGTTCTGCTGTTGAACAAAAGCTCAGTGAAATCAAAGGCTATCTATATCCATCTGGCTCATGATTAGAACTCCAACCCTCTTAGAATACATACCATCAGATGAAAACGGTGAACCATAGTTGCCTGTTCATTTTAAATGTATTTGGCAAAGTTGGCCAAAAGGTGAAATTGGTAACAAAATGAAATCATTATTGTTGGGCCCGAGAAGCCAAGGTTGGATTACCTGGGACTCCTGTTTTTCCTGTGGCTCTTGAGAAACCTGAGGGTACCATCTGTGCCTGACCAACCAAGCCCCTCCATGTGTCCACAAGGGACTAATTAAACTTCACCTCAGCAATGATACAACTCCCTCACACCATGGAACTCCCTGTAACCATCAACAACACCAAAATAGACCTCTTTAAGATGGATTGGCAGGAAACTGAGACGCTCTCCAACAATTACAGTATTGTACTGAATTTTGAACAATGAAAAGATGGCATTTCCACATTAACTTAAGTCATGGAAAAAGGTATTCACACAGTTTTGTTTTTGTTCAAGCATTGGACGCTTCCTGCCAAAACTATTAATTAACTGCAGAGCTTTTTAATGTGTCAATCAATTTTGGCATTTATCCATATTTGGAGAAAAACTAAAGCCAGAGTTGAATTAAATCTTTGTCTTCTAGAATTGACTGTTTGTGACCCACTTTATGAAATATGTTTATATCGGAGGTTTTAATGATAAAGATTAAATCTAATTTTAATGTATTTGTCTTTCTTTAACCCCTTTTTCATGATATAAAGCAAGGTTTTGTTTTTTGTTTTGTTTTGTTTTAAACTGGTACCTATCAGGTGGTTATTTGGCAGTTAGTCTGAGATCTAATAAGAAACTGGTTTTTAGATTTAATTCAGTTCCATGAGGACAGAGTGAAGTGTGGGTGATACAGGGACTATTATCCTGGCTGTTGTGAGGGACTTTTGTGCTAGGAAGCCATGCTGACAAAGACGGCACTGTGCACGCTCCATCTACAACTGAGCACTTTCACGCTGCAATTTAGGAGGTGTACAGTTCAGGAAATTGCTGGCTTTGGCTGCAGTGTACTTTTACTGCTAGGAAAATTTTATTCGTCACTCAAGTAATTGGCAGTTTAATACCTTGTTCATAATTACCTTATAAACAAACGAATACATAAACCAAAGATTGAATTGTCTGTTATCTAACTTGTAGCCTTATTTGATGAGCATGATAAGATACCCGTAGATCTTCTCCCTTCCCCCAAAAAACTAATGTGATCTATTTATTGCACAGATCTAGAGCTGAGTGTTTTCTTTTTGTTGGTGTTACATTTAAGAATAGATATTCCTGCCCCAGAGACAGCCTGGAGGCCAAAAC